AGAGGACAGGAGTAAATAATGGATTCAAATTTCAGTAACTACCAACTTAATATAGATTGCTCTATGCACAAGATGCTATGTACAAGATGCTATGTAACCACAAATCAATGCACAAGATGCTCTACGCACAAGATGCTATGTAACCACAAATAAAAAACCACTAATAGACATGCAAAAAACAAAGAGAAAGGAATCCAAGTATATCAGTAAAGAAAGCCAACAAACTGAGACAAAAGAACAAGAGAAGAAAGGAACAGAGAAGAATTACTAAAACCACCATAAAATAAGCAATAAAATGGCATTATGTACATACGTATCAGTAATTACTTTGAACATAAATGGAATGGATAAAAAACAAGACCTATCTATATACTGCCTATAAAAGACTTCTTTCAAACTAAAAGCAACATGCAGATTGAAAGGGAAGGGACAGAAAAGCATTTATCATACAAATGGGAGTAAAAAGAAAGCTGGGGTAGCAAAACTTACATTGGACAAAATAGACTTTAAAACAAAGACTATAAGGGGTGCCTGGGTGGCTCAGTCAGTTAATCATCTGACTTTGGCTCAGGTCATGACTTCATGGTTCATGGGTTCGAGCCCTGTGTCACGCTCTGTGCTGACAGCTTGGAGCCTGGAGCCTGCTTCAAATTCTGTGTCTCCCTCTCTCTCTGCCTCTTCTCTGCTCATGCTCTCTCTCTCAAAAATAAAAATGAATATTAAAAAAAAAATTTTAAAACAAAGACTGTAATAAGAGACAAAGACCACACTATATAGTCATTAAGGGCACAATCCCAAAAGAAAACATAACAATTGTAAATATTTATGCACCCAACATAGAAGCACCCAAATACATACAGCAGCTAATAATAAACAAAAAAGAAATCATCAATAGTAATACAGTTGCAGTAGGGGACTTTAACATACCACTTACATCAATGGACAGACAGATCATTCAAACAGAGAATCAACAAGGAAACAGTGGCTTTGAATGACACATTGGGCAAGATAGACCTAACAGATAATATTCAGAACATTCCAACTTAAAACATAATACACATTCTCTTGAAGTGCACATGGAACATTCTCCAGAATAGATCACATATTAGGCCACAAAACAACTCTCAACAAATTAAAAAACAACAAAGTCATAGTATGCATCTTTTCTGACCACAACTCTATGAAACTAGAAATAAACCACAAGAAAAAAATCTAGAAAGAACACAAATACAGGGAGGTCAAATAACATGCTAGTAAACAATGAATGGGTGAACCAAGAAATCAAAGAGAAAATCAAAATGACATGGAAATGAATGAAAATGAAAACATATAGGTCCAAAATCTTTGGGATGCAGCAAAAGCTATTCTAAGAAAGAAGTTTATAGCATTCCAGGTCTACCCAAAAAGCAAAAAAACCCAAAAAAACCCAAAAAAACCAATCTCAATAAACAACCTAACCTTTCACTTAAAGGAGCTAGAAAAAGAACAACAAACAAAACTCCAAACCAATAGAAGGAAGAAAATAATAAAGACTAAACCAGAAATAAATGAAACAGACTAAAAAACCAATAGAACAGATCAAGAAACCAGGAGCTGGTTCCTTGAAAAGAGCAACAATATTTATTAACTTTTAGTCAGTCTCACCTCCCCACTCACCAAAAAAGATAGAGAGGACTCAAATAAAAATCTTTTCAAGTTGGGCAGTACATAGTGGATTTCTGTTACAACACTGTCAAAGTGTGACAGGTGGGGCACCTGGGTGGTTCAGTTCATCGAGTGTTCAACTTCGGCTCAGGTCATGATCTCAGGGCTTATGAGTTCAAGCCCCACATTGGGCTTGATGGTGTCAGCACAGAGCCTGCTTCAGATCTTCAGTTCCCCTCTCTCTGCCCTTCCCCCACTTATACTGTCTCAAAAATAAATAAAACGTTTAAAAAAGTAGTGAAGGCTTTATAAAGGATGCATATTTTTTAAAAAGTGTTTTACTGTTTATAGTAAGGAGAAGTAAAAAAAGAGATGTATTATAATCAATTTGGGGGTGCCTGGGTGGCTCAGTCGGTTAAGAGTCCAACTTCAGCTCAGGTCATGATCTCATGGCTCGTGAGTTCAAGCCTCACGTAGGGCTCTGTGCTGACAGCTCAGAGCCTGAAGGCTGCTTCTGATTTTCTATCTCCCTTTCTCTGTGCCCCTCTCTGTCTCTCTCTCTCAAAACTAAATAAACATTAAAATAAGTAAATAAATAAAATAAAATAAATTTAAAATAAAATATTGAGAAAATAAGAGTATTGGTAGTAAGCAGTGATTGTAAAAATCAAGAAGATGGCAGGAAAGTGGCTGCCATTTGAGGAATGGCACAACTTCTCAAGGCTCCCTTGGGTTCAAACTGCAGCATGGTCTTTAAGATCCTTTGAAAGCACAGTCCATTACTCCCATGGAAATAGGGATCTTGTCTCACTGGTCATCCATCTACAAATGCATGCATGCCAGTCTGTCTCCTGATAAACTGTAAGCCCAGGCACCACAGGCCACATTTATGATGTACAGGCACACTTCCTGTCTACCATGCACCACCTCTCTATCTGCTTTGACCTTGGCAGGGACATGTATGTAGGAATCTGTTGAGAGTGGAAAAAAATGCAGGCTGTTCCTGACCATCTCCCTCTGACTCCAGGGACAGGAGTTGGCCATGCAATCAATATAAACCCCCACTTACCTGGATGCACATTATGCACTGGCTTGTGAACTCTCCTTTGAGACCCTTAAGTCAGGGACTCAGTATCAGGTAGAAAAGTACAACACGGTAAGTATGGCTTCTGCTATGATATCCACTTTATTTATTTATTTATTTATTTTTTTAAATTTTTTTTTCAACGTTTTTTATTTATTTTGGGGACAGAGAGAGACAGAGCATGAACGGGGGAGGGGCAGAGAGAGAGAGGGAGACACAGAATCGGAAACAGGCTCCAGGCTCTGAGTCATCAGCCCAGAGCCTGACGCGGGGCTCGAACTCACGGACCGTGAGATCGTGACCTGGCTGAAGTCGGACGCTTAACCGACTATGCCACCCAGGTGCCCCTATGATATCCACTTTAAAATCTATCTTTTAATTTTGTGATATAGTTTCTGGATGAGCTGGATAAAGTGCCAAAAAGGAATCATCATTGCTGGTTTATGCTCCCCAACATCTAGCCAGTTTATGGTCAATAATCCCACCTAGTAAATTAACTCATCTCTTGTCTAAGTACATGATTTTCTCTCCATTTACCTTGAAATATATACCAAGAAGTTTCATGATTCAAAGTCAAACGTTTTTGGCTGCTTTACCAATATTTTTTACATTGCTCTTATGGATGCTTGCTTGCTCATATCTGTTTTAAGTATTTTTCTGAATAAAGTTATACTGGCTCATGCACTATGGCAGAGAACTAAAGGGCCTCAACTGTCTCCTTGTCAATGCAATGAAGTGGACACTACATTTTACAACTTGGTATGGTGACCCCTGTACCTGGTATTCAGAAATGCATCCAAACATGATCCTGAGCTTCCATAAGAAAATAACAATCCAATCTCCAGATTAGCTTTTTGTATTTAAAAGATATTTTAGGAAACTGGACTCTGAGTACATATAGGAAGTACAAGATCCAGCTCACTTCTGTACTGCATAATTTTCAAGAAAGTTTTGGTTGACAACAATATTATTCAAGGATGGCCTAAAGAATAGGTAGTATTCTTCTCTCAGTCCTCTGGAATCTACCTCAGGTCAGCAGAGAGCTCTGAGCACCACCAGACCACTTGGCCTTTGAAGAAACCTCTGTAGCCACACTGCTGTCAGCCTGCATCAAGGGGCTTCGTGGAAAAGAACCTGATGAGTAACAGCTCACTTCAGGCCTTTCGAGGACTTGGGTCTCCTGTCACAGAACACTCTCTAGGAAGATCCTTGGGAAATTTCTCTCTCATTTCAGCACTGGGAGAAATTCACCTTCACCTGAGCAGTGAGTCAGTTTGCATCTTGTGGACAGCATAAGTCACGGTACTGAGCACCCCCTCCCTCAGCGATGGCTGGAGGAGCCAAGAGCAGCGTCTGGGGCCCCTCTGCAGCAAATAGTAGAGCCCCCCCTCCACATACTTAGTGTACCAACATTGCCTAGGACTTCATCTTATCTTTTCTGTTTACATTTCCACTTTAAATTCTCTCAAACCCCAATTCTTTGTCTGTAAGGATGAGATAATAATATGATGAGAATTTAAATAGATGTATATAAACTGCTTTGTATTGCCTGGTACCTATGATGAAAATTTAAATGTATATAAACTGTTTTGTATTGCCTGGTACACATACTCAGTATATTGTAATAATAGCTAATATTTATTGAGGGCTGATTATACCATGACTTAGTCTAAGCACTCTGTACATGTTTTTAATCCTCACACAACTCTACGTGGCTGTTGCTAGTATTATCCTCATCTTAGAGAGGAGGAAACTGAGACCCAGAGATTTTTAAACATTTGACTCAAATCTATCATAGGCAAAACTTGGATTTGAATCCATGTCCCCAGCCCTGATCCCAAGTTAACTTCTATTACTATGATAGCTACTACTTTAAAGCTAATTTTTTGGTCTTGTTTTACCTAGCAATTATTTATTTACTTATTTTCAGAGGCTGGGTGCAGTCTCATTTAGGGTCACCAACTTGTCCAGAATTTCCCAGTTTTATAATTCAGTCTCATTTCCCAAGATACCACTCGGTGGTTTTCTCATTATGTTATTGATCTTTGTAGCAGGACCATTGCTAGTACACACAAATACCTTCATGCAAATGAGAAAGAAGGGGTATCCATTTGTTTTTAACACACTTTTGATCGTGTATGCAATCCATTTATGTAAACTGCCTTAAATCCTTTCCGGAATAAGATGGATACAGAAACAAATACAAATACAGAACTTCACATTGTTATTTAACACTTTTAGAGTTATGGGTAATTATTACCACATGCATTACCTTTATATCCTTGTTCTGTCTCCCTGAGATCAATTTTGGTTATTGGTTTGAAATCAGTATCCCATAATCGAATACACCCATCTCGTCCACCAGTGGCAAAGCCTTCTTCACAAGCATACATGCTAAAGATTCCAGCCTGTTGAGTAAGGCAGATTATACTCAATACTTGAAGGATTCTAAATAGTCATTATAGTTGGAGCTTCATGATTAAAAAAAAGCAAAAACAAAAATGTTTTTAAAAACCCTTGTTCTCGGGGCACCTGGATGGTTCAGTCGGTTGAGCGTCCAACTTCAGCTCAGGTCATGATCTCACAGTCTGTGGGTTCGAGCCCTGCGTCGGGCTCTGTGCTGACAGCTCAGAGCCTGGAGCCTGCTTCCGATCCTGTGTCTCCCTCTCTCTCTGCCCCTCCCTCGCTCTCACTTTGTCTCACTCTATCAAAAATAAATAAATGTAAAAAAACAAACAAACAAAAAACCTTGTTCTCTATTGCAATCCTGACAATAGAACAAGTAGCCATTTATAATATCCTTCATTTTGGCTAAAGTAAAAATTAATCATGACTACCACCAAAGCAAATCAGTTCAAATGCTCCTTTACCATTACTAAACTGATGGCAATTTGAAAAAAATATTATTCACTAATTCCTTGGTTAAAGTAGATATGAAGATCAAACTCCTTTAGGTGACAACTGATCCTTATAAAGAAAAGACAACAATAGAGGTGTTTCATATAAATCACTTCTCAAAATAATCAGGCAAAGATATTTGAGCTAGGAACAGAAACACTTTTACTGGTACACAGGTGCCTGAAATGCATCTCAATGAGTTCAAGAAGGCAACACCTGAGCCTAATTGAAAACAAATTACATTTGTGTTAATTTGTTAAGCATTATATGAAGATGCTTTTTTTTCCCACACCTGAAATAGTCCCGTAACTTAAAGATGCTTCTCCACAGGAAAATATTTTACCTGGTCTATTGAGAAGTGCTGTAAGAATATACTGTTGACCTAAGATCCAGTGTGAAGAGAAATGAGGTTACTAAGGCAGCTGCTTTTATGCATGGGGACAAATGCTGACCTCTGAATGGTTTCAAGATCGGTTTCATAATTAGTGAAGCCAAGAAAATTGGTTCAACATACAAGCCAATGAAAGATCTAAAATTTTACAGCTCTTTTGCTAAGACGTGCTTAAACTTTTCTTTATTTAAGAGTAATGGGGACCAATTTGGACTCAGGACCTAAGCTACAGGTCTGGTGAGTTTCTAAAAATTGTTTACCAAATTTCCATTTACTATAATAGGCTTTAGCTTTCACATCTCCCCATTCTTCTGGGCATTTCCATGTTATCATCTATAGATACAGCAGTGTAACCATTATCATAGGTGTCAAAAGAGAGCAGAATGGTCAGAAGTAAAGTTTGCCCATGTTCTTACAGAGCAGATCATCAAAAAAGAAGTGTGTCAATGGTTTCTGTTTGCATTTTAAGAACTTGTGATTTGGATTTAGAGGTTACTTACTCAGAGTGCAGAAAGTCTACCCTTACTAACAAATGTAAAAACAAGAGTTGTCTACATATGGGCCACAGGCCAGCAGCAAAGGCATCATCTCAGACTTACTGAATCGGAATGTGCATTTTTAACAAGATCCCCAGGAAATTCACAGGTACATTAAAATTTGAGAAGTACTGATCTATAAGATAAAACTGATGATGAAACAGTCCTGTTCTTCTAGATGTGGATGAATAACACTAATCAACCAATCAATGATTGAGGTGAAGGTTTATTAAATTATTGAGCTTTTGAACTATTTCTTTTAAGGTGAACAAGAATAGCTATAATTGGGGAAATCTTTGATGAATGTTTAGGTAGTTTTCAGCAGAGTTCTACTGATTTTAATACAACAGGAAAACACACTTATTTGTGATATCAACTTATTTAATAATCACCAAATTTCCACATGGACATACTCACACTGTGTGCTCCTTGAATGGTGCGGACTAAATTGAGCCCTTTCCAGACATAGATGTCGCCATTTAAAGCACCAGAATAGGTGATGTCATCTTTGGCACATGCAAGGCAAAGGATGGTCTGAAGATCCCCTGTTTTGCCAAATATCCCTCTTTTTGCAGTCAAGGCATTTCCACAGAGTGTCCAAAACTGGAAAGTGATTAAAATACATAGATCCAAAAATAACGTATTCATCCTGATGCATCACATCATTGGTATTTGCTTACATTTGAGTACGTTTCATATAATTTGCTATAGCTGAACTAGGCACACGTAATTTAACTTGTTCTGTGGCAACCAATGGAATCGCAAAACCTTTTAGCCAACTACTAGCAGCATAATAAACACTTTTAGCAGTGTTATTAAAACTTTCCAAGCTCCAAAATTTCCAAACTTTGCTAATTGTTTAACGGTGATTAAACACAAAAGCTCAATGTTCTCAGAGTTGGAATAAAGTGAGTGAATCATCAGGTCTTTAACTTTTGGTCAAATTACAAAAGTAGTATAGGTTCATTGTAGAGGAGTTTAGAAATAAAGAAAAGTATAAAGAGGAAAAATGAAGTATCTACAGCCTCCTGTTAACACATGGATGTATCTTCCAGATGTTTTTTTGGTGTGCGTGCATGTGTGTGTATGTATGTATTTGGATATCATGTGTTTCTAACTTGAAATGTTATATATCTTCACTGTAGAAATCTTACTCAAAAGCTTCCTAAATATGAGTTATCTTCCCATATAGCCAAATAACTAAGCTTTTCAATTTTCACTGAATAATTTATCATGTGAAAGACCTTAAGCATAAAGCTTGAGCCACTTTATAGAAAGCAACAAGTAGACTTCTGTGGCTATACGGAAATTAAGTATTTTTTTTTTGCCATAGTTTTTAAAATGTATGAACTGGTATAACTTTACTGCTAAGTATATAGCCCCTCAACATTTATAAAGGCTCTTTACATTTATTTGATCTTCATAACACTCTTGAGAACAGGCTAAAGCAGCTATTCTTATCATCCCCACCTGGAAGTGAGGGAAAGGGGGCCTAAGTGGTTTGCTGAAGGTAAGGATTCAATGGGGGTTATACATGAGAAAATAGTGAGGTCTTGATCTTTGCTTTGAGAAATTTCAATCATTTTTAAAAGTTTATTTATTTTGAGAGAACGAGAGAGAGAGGAGAGAGAGAGCAGGAGAGGGACAAAAGGAGAGGAGAGAGTGAATCCCAAGCAGGCTCTGCATTGTCAGTGCAAACCCCAACTCCAGGCTCAAACTTACAAACTGTGAAATCATGACCTGAGCTGAAACCAAGAGTCAGATGCTTAACCACCTGAGCCACCTGGGCACCCCTGCCTTGAGAACTTTGAATCTAATGAAGATACGTATAAAACCAGAAATAATTTCAAAGCAGCATATTTAGACTACATACAAGTGCCAAGACAATTCAGAGAGAACCATGTTGAATTAACTGGAATGAGCAAAGCTAGGATTTGGATCAGTGGTGAGAAACAAGGTGCATCTGGGATTAGGAGAGGAGGATCAGGCAAGTCCAGGTGACAAATGTGTGAGGAAAAATCAGTGACAACCCAAATATTTTGTGCCTTAGGAGAGGAAAAATGGTGGCCCTCTTAGTTAAGTATTGAGGGAAGGAGTTCTGGGCTGATTGTACTACCTTGGAGGTGCAGGACTCTGGCAGCTATGGAGGTGACGGCCCTTATAGAGGATGAGAGGCAGGTGTGCAACCACTTGAGACAATATAGAATTCTTCTCTCATTAAGGAGCAATTCTTCTCTCTTCTGTCAACTCCAGTGATTTGTTTCTTGGGTATTTACTATTTCTATGAAAAGGTACTCAAGTATAATACGGAAAGAACAAAAAGATTTGGGGAAAAGAGGAGTATGTATTAGCTTTGGGAAAACATTTAAGTATTAGCTTTGAACCTGAAAAGGGTGCCTGAGAAGCTTAGTCGGTTGGGCGTCGGACTTTGGCTCAGGTCATTATCTTGCGGTTCTTGAGTTTGAGCCCAGCATCGGGCTATCTTCTGTCAGCACAGAGCCCACTTTGAATCCTCTGACCCGTCCCCCTCTCTGCCCCTCCCCTGCTTGTAATCGCTCTCTCTCTCAAAAATAAATAAACTTAAAAAAATATATAAAATAATTTTGAACCTGAACAAACTATTAAATGTAAACACCTACTGGTAGTATAAACATGCCAAAACCCAAAGGCAGATGTTTCCTTTTCTCACCATATACAAAGATTAAAAGGACAATAATTTTAAAATCATTATTCCTAAAGAAGGGTAATTACTTTGCAGTTATTATTTCTCTAACTCTAGAATGTGCACCTCTGATCTAAGTTACTGAAATATTCTAATGAAAAACCACAAAGCATAGAGAGACCATTATTCTCAGACACAAAGGTTTCTAATGAAATCACCCAGTCAGACGGAACAAGGCCAACATGAAACATTCCAAATAATCAAATGACTCTCTAAAAAAGCACATATAGATGTAACACCAGGATAGGTATGAGAGTTTTTGTAGAAATGGCAAATCTCTGAATTCTCGGTTCCTGAAAAGCGCTTCCTGTTTGGAAAACAGTGACAATTTTGGATAGCAACATACCAGCAAATCCACATCAAAAGAACAGATGTAGTTTATCTTTCCCAGTCTCCATTCCCAGATTGTAATGCAAATTTTGTTAGAACTGGCAGATACCTTGGAGTTCATTTGGCCCTAGGTAATCTCCAAAGTCCCTTCTGTCTGTGACTAGAGACTAGAGAAGGATCAACAATATCCACAAACCTGGTAGGCTCATTTGCTGTAAAACCAACCAAGCATGACAATGATCAACTGCTACTGTTTTCAAGCTTTCATTTCAGATAATTGTTATTTGCCTGTCTGCCAACACTGGGAATTTGCAAAAACACAAAGGATTTCACCCTAGCTACAAAAATGTCACATAAAAATATTTTCTTGGAGTACATCAAAGATTTTGCATTCAGCTTGTGACTGGAATCATTCATTTGCTGTTAGGTAGGTTTTTGCGGGGGGGGGGGGGGGGGGGGGGGCCGAGGAATTTTTTGTAGAACCTAAAAATAGTGAAAATATTTGTTGGAAGCCTGCTAAAATTTGTTATGGATTTCTTTCTTTTTAAAATATTTTAAATTTTGGGGCGCCTGGGTGGCGCAGTCGGTTAGGCATCCGACTTCAGCCAGGTCACGATCTCGCGGTCCGTGAGTTCGAGCCCCGCATCCGGCTCTGGGCTGATGGCTCAGAGCCTGGAGCCTGTTTCCGATTCTGTGTCTCCCTCTCACTCTGCCCCTCCCCCGTTCATGCTCTGTCTCTCTCTGTCCCAAAAATAAATAAAAAAACGTTGAAAAAAAATTTAAAAAATAAATAAAATATTTTAAGTTTTTACTTATTTTTGAGAAAGGGAGAGCGCAAGCACTTGTGCACAAGGCGGGGAGGAGCAGAGAGACGGACACACGGAATCTGAAGCAGATTCCAAGCTCAGAGCTGTCAGTGCAGAGCCTGATGTGGGGCTTGAACTCACAAACCGCGAGATCATGACCAGAGCCGAAGTCGGATGCTTAATCGACTGAGTCACTCAGGTGCCCCTGTTGTGGATTTCTTTCTAAACAAAATTAATAAAGATGGGTAGATGGGCATTGGGAGATTATTCCATTTGAGGTAAAAATACTTAATTTTGCTTAGAAAAAAAAAGTGCCTGTCTGCTAAAACATAATTAACAATTTATTTTTCTAAATGTTTATTTTTTGAGAGACAGAGTGCAAGTGGGGGAGGGACAGAGAGAGTGAGACAGAATCAGAAACAGGCTCCAGGCTCTGAGCTGTCAGCACAGATCCCAACGTGGGGCTAGAAATTACAAACCGTGAGATCATGTCCTGAGCCGAAGTCAGACACTCAACCAACTGAGCCACCCAGGTGCCCCCATAATTAACAAATTTAATGGGATAAACAGCTCTTAGTGTTTTCAAATGAAGCTCCTGGGTTTTATATGTCTTTGTTTTTGGAATTAACTGATTAGAAGAGTTAACCAAGGATGAAAACAAACAGGGAAGAAGCTGGAGAATTCCATCAGTTAAGCAGCTAATCTATTTTTTTAATATTTTGTTTTTTGGGGGAAAATCAGGCCAAAATAGATTATTGAAGAAATAATTTCCAATGGAAAGACCTCTACACAGGGAGCCAGAGACTGAGTTTAAATCTTATCTGTACCACCATTTTTGTGATCCCAGAAGATGGGAAAAGAAATTAACATTGTGCCCCTACTGGTTTCACACACTGTGTAATGTAACTCTTAACACACTCATAAAGTAGTGATCCACAACCCCCTGGTTTCATGGGGGTGTTTTTTGGGAGAGAAATTCAGCCTCAGGGAGATTGAACAGCTTTCCCAGAGACAAGCAGGACATACAAAGAGGATTCCAAGTCAAATAACCACCTAGGTCTTGGCTTCCTCACTGTAGAATATGCAGACTGGATGATGGCCCTGTGATCAGAGTCCTAGACTTCCATAAAGCCACCATCACCTGATGGAAACCAGTCTCATCATGAACTCACATAATTCTTTGCTTATGGGTAAAAAAGCAATTCAGTGCCTTTGCCATTTGTCAGACAGATTAGAAATTCATGTTGATGGATATATATCTTTGATTAATAAAAATTATAAAGGGAATTATTGGTAGGACACTTGATACCTTTGAATAATAGAACCTATACACTTATCTTTTTTTCTTTTTTTTCATTACTTTTTTCTGATTTTGGAAAAAATATATGTTATTGTAAAATAATTTTAAAAATAAAGAGACAATTTAATCATAAACTCCATAGCCAGTGTTAACTGCTTAACATTTTTTGGTATCTTTCCAATTTATTTCCTATACAAAAATATACTTTACTTCTAAAGTAAAAAGAAAAAAATCAAAAAAAATTACCTCACCTAGTAGACTGTAAATAAATCTTGAATATTTCCTAATAACATTAAATAATCATCTAAACCATGACTTATAATGATTGTACAGTATTTCTTCCTATGGATCTACCATATTGTATTTAACCACCTGGGGGCAGTTTGGTGGCTTCAGGCCTTCTTTAGTCTGGTTTTATTTGCTGTTGGTAAGTTATTCAGCAATGAACCTATCCTGGTTCACACTCCTAATAATTTCCTTGAGATAAATTCCAAGATATGAAAATATGGGCTGTGTTCTCTTCACAGCAGCACATATACTAATACTGAAAAAAAAAAAATCACTACCTCACAGGATATTAACATTTTTTTAAATTAAAAAAAAATTTTTTTAATGTTTACTCTTTTTAGAGAGAGTGAGAGAGACCGAGCACGAGTGGGGGAGGGGCAGAGAGAGAGGGAGACACAGAATCCGAAGCAGGCTCTAGGCTCTGAGCCATCATAACAGAGGCAGAGGTGGGGCTCGAACCCCCGGAAACCAGGAGATTGTGACCTGGGCCAGAGTTGGAGGCTTAACTCACTGAGCCACCCAGACACCCCAGGATACTAACATTTCTAAAGCTATTGATAGATATTATCAAATTTCTGGACTGAAAGACTAGAAATACTCATTTATAGTACTCAGCAAGGTTTGACAGTGTTCAGTCACTAAATCTTTGTCAACACTGGATACACTTTAATCCTAATTCTGATGGATTAAACATTGTTATTTAAAAATTGTTATTCCTAACTAAGAAGATTTAGCATTTTCATCTATCTGTTAGCCAACGTTTCTAATTTTGTCAATTATACATGTCCTTTCTCCGTTGTACAGGTTTGCTGAAGGTCTTTACATTTCAAGAACAAACCAAAATTCTATCTAACACGCTTGTGGCTTACACTTTGCTCATGTGTGGTTTGTCTCTCTTGTTTCTTAGCAGTTGGGGGCAGGTAGACAGAAAGTTTTAATGTTTATATAATTGAATCTATAATATTATCTTTATGGTTTCTTACTTTGCTTCTACATTCAGAAAGGCCTTTCACCCACTTGAGAGCAGTTAAACATTTACTTAGATATTCATATAATTATTTTATAGTTTTTTAAACACTTAACTCTTTAATTCATAAAGAATTTATTTTAATGTATGGTATGAAGTAATGATATATAACTTTTTTCTCCCAAATAGATAACAAACTGTCCTAGGGCCCACTGGTCAAGATACTATTATATTCTAAATTCTTACACATATTAACCTTTATTTCTCAGCTTTGTTTTTTTTTGGGGGGGGGGATTGTTATTTATCCTTATCCCAATCTGATACATTTTAATTATTTTAGTTTCGTAATATGCTTTAGTAAATACAGTACTTTCCTCTTCATTATCCGTTTTTTATTCAAGTTCTTGGTTATTCTCATTCTTTTATCCATCTAGACTAACTCAGAATAATTTAAAAGGAAATGTCAGATAACAATAACAAAGCTTCTTGAGATTTTAACTGAAATTGCACCGAATATAATTTAAGTGATGTGTTTAATTTTTAGACTTCACATCCAGAACCAAGGTTGTCTCTCCATTTGTTCAAGCCTTTTGTATTCCTCTGTGAAGTTTTGTAATATTCTTTAAGCAAGTCTTGCATATCTCTTGTTATATTTATTTCTGGACATCTGATCATCTGTCCCTTTCTAACAATTAAGTAAGAACAATGGGAAGGATCATAAAAAATGAGACTGAAAAAAGAACAAAAGAACAGGGAAACAGGAGGAGTTGGTTGGGGAAATAATACAGATACCTATTCCGTTCATACAAAAATGCAGCAATTTGGTACTAGCAGAGATCCAAACATGCTGTAGTCAAGCAAGTAATCCTCACACGCTTTCAATTATGAACTTTAATCTCTGTTGTGTACAAATCTGTAGACAGAAGATTCTGGGTCACATCCCAGGGTCCAGAGGAAATTTCTGCTATGTTGGAGCAAAGAAAGTTAATGGTGTTAACTGTGCTACCCATTTAACAAAGTAGAAAGAAGCAAATAGCTAAAGGTAGGTCCTGGGCTACCTGTGGTATTTGAGGCCGTGTAGTCTAGGGGAAGACAGAGGCATTTAAAAATAATGGCTCAGGTAGGCTCGTACTGTGTATCCCTCTATTTTTATGTCCAACCCAACGCTGTTCCTTCTAAAATAACTTCTCAACATGACAGAAAATGTTTTGATATGCGGTATGTGTAAACATTCATCAAAATGTAAAAACTTAATTTACAATATTAAAATCAGAACTGTTTTACAGCATGCAATCCTTGAAATACTAGGAGTATTTGGTTTAGCATTTGATTAACACAAAGTTTTCTTTTCAGCTGCCTGCTGGGCGCTTCACCTGATGGTCCTTACACTGTAGTTCTGAAAGAGAGCCCCCTCAGCTGATGCTAGCTTGCTTCAAGATCAATGCAGTAAAAGGCTCCCAATTTTAGAAAAATAGAGCCATTCCTCAACATCAAATTATATATATATATTTATATA